TGGGCGGCGCCCGCCGCGGCCAAGACGTTTTGGTCAACCTTCTTCTCCGCTACTCTCTTCCTCTTCTTGATCCCTTTGAGAGGTCTCATTGAAGAAATCCAGTGAAATACTTTTCGAAGTAAGAACAACCCGCCTAAGGAAACCAGAGGAATCGCAGGAAAGGATTACGAAGCAACACAACGGAAAACGAATGGAGCTCTGCGGGTTTGTGCTTCAATGGAGACTCGGGGCCTTTGGTGGTTTCATGGTTGACGAACATGCACGAGAGAGAGAGAGAGAGAGAGAGAGAGAGAGAGAGATTGGAGGAGAGATTTGGGTTATGCGATCGGAGCTTATAACGTTTGGTTTCTTGTGCTGTAAAGCTCGTCCTCTTGGCTCTAATTCTTCTACTTTGGGTAAATTTCCCTTTCCTTTTAACTCTTGCGGATCCGATTTCTTTTAAAACATGATATTTTGCATATTGATTAATTCACGATATTCTACATTTTGTGCAAATTAAATTACAACTAATAATTATTAGTATTCGAAACCTATTTATATTGGTCGGTATATATTCCATTTCTATTGCCGTCTTACTCAGTATTATATATGTATATATAATGTTTTAACAAAATATATTTAGAGCAAAAATCAATATTTTTTACTTAAAGTTTCCTCAAATTTCCTCATATTATGCGAGTAATCTAAAATTGTTCATCCGTTACAAAATATATTAAGTTTAGTAAACAGAATTTTTTTTCTGCTAAGCTTAGTAAGTATAGAATTTTGGTATAATATACGTATATGATATATGTGTTGATTCCTATTAAGGTTTTTGTGGGCCCATAAGTGAGTCAATGCCCAAACTTATTCTTGTGAAAATTATAGGATGTTGCTTCCAATTGTATTTATGAAAACCCATTGATATTTTTTTTTTCAATTCAATTCAACAATCATATTCACCATGAAATTTTCGTATATAGAGATATACAATATGTTATTAACCGATAATCTTTTCTTCCCCTAAATTCGAAATTAGAAATATAAACAGGTGAAGGGTACTTATACAAACTAGGGATGATTTGATCGGGTTCGATTTGATTGTTTCGATTTTAGAAATACTATAATCATTCGATTTTTATATTGAATTCGATTCGATTATAATTAAAATACTATTTTTTAAAGAAATTTACGGATTTTGTTCGGATTCGAGTTGGATATTTTGGTTTTAAAACATTCATAATCATTTAGTTTTATATCTAATTCGATTCAGTTCCTATTATACGTTATTCGATTCGAATGGATTCGATTATTTACCAAATAAAAAACTCATAATACAAAATCCTTCTAGATGTATAAACACGCACAAAAGAAACACGGGACATACATACATAAAATGTAAATACAAAATCGGTGGTAGATTACAAGAAAGAAAATCCCAAAATCATAAACTCTTATCTAAATGTCTACAAACTGACGTTTCGCAGGTCAAAAGAACATCAAAAACGGATTTCATAAGTTTAAAAAAAATCTTATTGTCACATATGTAACTGAAAAATTGGTGGGTGACGATGATATGATGGTGATTTGTATTTATTGTATTCTAACAATTTAATTAGGGTATATAATTAATCACATAATTATAATTAATAAATAACACTAAACAAACACTGATTCACAAAGAGAAACAGATGAACGATGCGAACCATTTATTTGGTCCGATGATCAAACACCTGCGTCCACACGTTGTGTATCTCTGTTCTTCATCGCGAACATGTTTTTACGAGTATAAAATATCGAAGATTATTATATATTATATGATAATAGTATCCCAACTAATTCATTTAAAAAAGAATTTCTTTGACTCTTACGAATTCATTGTAGAGTTAGGATTGGTAGAACAAAAGGGATTTGAAGTTTAGAGCTTTTGTACTACGTACGTTGTTGCCAACAACATCAGCCATGGCTTTTGTGGCAATGAGTTTTTTTTTTCTTTCCAGAAAGCATTTTTAGGTATCCCGAATTTTACTTGTAAAGATCGGGTTTTTAAAAACTCAGACGTGCAAACTTGGGTAGTTCAAACGGTGAAACGAAAATGCAAAACGTTTGTCCCACCCCGAATTCGAACTCCAAATTTGGAGAAGGACATTCACCCGAACTTCCCTGATTCTTGAAATTAGTTTGAACCTTGTCCATGATATCTAGTTACAAAAAGAAAAACTCAGATGAATCGATTGATAAATATATTTTTTTATTATATATGATTCTTTGACAAGATACCACATTTTTACTTCTCTATTTATTTTGCATTTATCCTTTTTTCAAAAATATTTTTCTACCATGGACGACTACTTTTTTGTTGGCGAGAAAATTGGTAGACAAATCGTGTAGAAAATATGAAATGTGCACGAGAAATTATCATTTTTGTGTTAGCTTATATTCTCACTAGAACGGGCTCGCCCGTCTCGGACCAACTCTATGTTGGGGTTCGCTACGACTACCGGTTCCTAGCATGCAATCACATCGATTTAGGGTTTGGTTTCTAGGTTTCATGAAGCGGAAGAATAATCTAAAATCTAGCCAAGCGTCACACGCAACCAAACGTAATAAAGAACCCAAAAGAACGTGTATATCACCGAGAGAATCGAATACTTATCTCTATATTGATCTGAGGTCTGTTTTAATCACCAAGATTTGAAAGTGCAGCTCCTATACACATATTCACACCGGTGGAAAGGATTCCAAACGGTTTGGAATGGATCTGCTATGATTTATGAAGAGAAAACGATGTCTGGGACTTGGAATCGTTATTCAGGGGTTTAAAACTCAAGAAAACTCTTCTCTAAGGCTCTAGAGAGTGTAAGACGTATGAGGTTGATTCACTAGAGTTTGGGGATGCTTCCATGCTTAATAAGGTTGCTAAAACTCTAAACTTCATAAAAAAAGGAAAGTTGTCCGAAAGTCAGACCGACCAGTTTGGGTCCTAGACCGGTCGGTCTGGCCTTCAGTCTGAACCTCTCGGTCTTGGACATCGGAACGGCTAGAGCGATTTGTCTAGACGTCTGGAACACTTCCAGTTTCTGACGTTCGTTCCGACGTCCCGTTATCCTTTTCCGCATTCATCTCTTGACATGTAGTTCATCTCTAATGGTGTGTGTGGCCCTGTAGGCCCATTCGCAGTGGCAGTGACTTCGAAAACCTTTTCCAAACCACAAATCATGGTTAGTCTCTAGCAAGACATCATGTCCACCCACATTGAATAGAGTTAGAGGTGATTTAACGTAGGCAGTAACAGTTCGAATTCTGATCATTTGTCTCACAATATCATATGTTGAATAAGAGCATGGTTTGAACCACCCTTCAAGTTCAAACATTTTCTCGTCTTGGCAAAGCGACTGATATAATAGATACAACTTCATCTATAGCTCACAGTCCGACTTCCACGAGAGGACCCAACGATATCTCTTCCCTTAAGGAGGTGACAAGTCATGTATCATATGTCTATTATCTCCATATGATTTGTGAACGTATCTTAGTAACGTCGTTATAATCATCCGGTTAAAGATGATGTTTGACGCAATCAAGATACGCCACTCCTCATATTAGATACTCTAGACATCTCAGGTCTGAGGATCTAAGAACAAACCGTTATATGAGATTCAAGTCATGAGTCTGTCCATATGACAATCTCATGCATGTAGATCATCCAGCCACTCGTCCCCAACGGGTACCTATGATTGTGATATGCATCCAATGCATCAATCACACCTCATAATGGTCTTAATTCATCATTGTTCCCACAATGACAACTGACCAGGGAGTTTAGAATCATTCTGTAATGATTCGAGGATACCAATATATAACGATCACGCAAATTATATAAAGGAAAAATAATGCATTTATAAACCAAATGAATCAATACAATGTCAAATGTTATATCACAGATAATTCTAGAGCATTACGACCAACAATCTTCCACTATAATTTATGATCTATCCTACAATTATATAATCCCTATACCTCTAACATGACCATCATGCTTTGACGAAGGGAGAGGTTTGGTCAATGGGTCGGCAATATTATCATCTGTCGATACTCTGTTTATCTTTACGTCTCCGTTGTCGGTGATTTCTCTGATCAATTGAAATTGTCTGAGTATGTATTTGGATCTCAGGTGTGACCGGGGTTCCTTAGCTTGCGCAATCACACCATTGTTGTCACAATACCATCATGCTAGGAATAACGCCATGATCCAAACAACTTCCTTAGTTGCATCCGATGCTGCTATGTACTCGACTTCTGTAGTCGAATCTGCAACGATGGACTGTTTGGAACTCTTCCAACTGATAACCCCATCGTTCAAGCAGAAAACATAACCTGACTGCGATCTGAAGCCATCTTTATCGGTTTGGAAACTAGCATCGGTATAACCATTTATAGCGAGCTCGTCTTCCAATCCGCCATATACCAAGAACAAATCATTAGTCCTTCCCAAGTACTTAAGGATGTTCTTGACCACAATCCAGTGAGCCTCGCCTGGTGTAGACTGATATCTACTAGTTATACTCAACACATATGATACATCCGGCGAGTACACAACATGGCGTACATGATGGATCCAATTGCCGCGACATATGGAATCCTACTCATGCGCTCTCTTTCATCCTGTGTCTTTGGACACTGAGTCTTTCTGAGAGTCACGTCATGTCCCATTGGCAAGACTCCCCTCTTGGAGTCTTGTATCTTGAACCGATTCAAGACATTGTCAATATATGTACTCTGACTTAGATCAAGAAGCCTTCTCGATCTATCTCTATAGATCTTGATGCCCAGAATATAGGCGGCTTCTCCTAGGTCATTCATAAAAAAGATCGATCCTATCCAGGATTTTACTCTTTACAAAGTAGGAACGTCGTTTCCGATGAGAATATATCATCTACATTAAGTACAAGAAAGACCACTGCGCTCCCATTGACTTTCTTGTAAAAGTATGGCTCATCTTCGTTTTGCAGGAAACCAAATATTTTGATTGTCTAGTCAAATCGAAGATTGCTGTGTGACAACCTATGATACCGTAGGAGGGTGGGGAGTGATCGCCGGTGCAAAAGGCACAGACAAGAAGCAGTTCCTGACGAGCTTCTGGATAGGGAGTACAGGATGAATCGAACGCATCGGAATGAGAGGGATCTGAGGGCTGCGTAGGTATGGGACTACACAGTCAAAGATAACTTAAAGGAATTGATTGAGTTACTCATAGCAAGAAGATGCGTTTACCTTTTCGGTTAACCATCTCGAGAAACTCCAAAGTTAAGCATGCTCGCTTTGAAGTAGTCTTAGGATGGGTGACCTTCTGAAAAGTACTTTCCGAGATGTATGCGAGTGAGGACAAAACACGCTAAAAGGTCTCGTGTTGATGTGTGGGTAGTAATGTCAAGTTGGGTTGGGTTATATGGGTTAACCCAACCCAACCCATCAATTACTACATTTGGGTTATGTCTTTTGGTTTAAAATTTTTAATGGGTTAGATGGGTTTAAACCCATTAAACCCATGGGTTTAATGGGCTCATCCAATTGACCCAATTATTTACAAAATTAAATGTATTACTCTTTTGTTCTTTGCCCTAATTTTTTATATCGTACGTTCTCTTCCGTCTCTCATCTCTCATATTTCTCTCTCCTTATGAACCCTAACTGCGAATCTCTCATCGTTCTGATGATTTCTCTCATCTCCCTTTCGTTCTGATTAGTGATCGTTCATCTTTTTCTTCCTTTTAATCATCGATAAATCCAAACTTTCTCTGAAAACCCTAATCGTTTGCCTCAGAAAATCATCAGACTTTGAATCTCCAAATATAAATTTGCAGAGAAAATCATTGGGCTCTTTATCACCAAGTATAAATTATCGGGTAAGTATAAATCATCGAGTTTAAATTCTGGGTTTAGTTAGAATCATAAATAAACATATGTTATATTTTATGATTCGATTAAACGAGTTTGTCGTGTTCAATTTGATGATTTTAGAATCCATTGTTTGAATTAGGTGTGATTGATTGGTGTAAAAATTCTGGATGTCTTTTTTTTTAATTGGAAAGCATTGATATTCCTAAATATGAGCTTTGTCATATAAATGAAGTGTAATCTTCTCTGCACGTGTAGACAAAGACTTGTGAAATAAATGTATGATTTATTTAAATCTTGAATTGTTGTCTTGGTTTCAATTATATGTCACACTTGAATGTGCAATTTTATATCGTTTTATTCAACCCAATTTCCATCAGACCCGTAAACTCCAAACCATATCTTAGATATGTTCTTAGATTGGTTTGTACAAATTTATGAGATACTTTTGATAAAATAATGTTGTGGTTTGATTCTTACAATGCTATGTTAAAATGATTCTTGCAGCGATATGTCTGAGTTAGTATTGTCGGATACTTTTGCATCGGGAGGAGAAAGTGCCAACGATGGATCGTCATTACCAAGTCAGTCTTTAGCAACACTTGATCAAGTAAGTACTAAGAAATGTTTACGCACTTCAAGTGTGTGGGATCATTTTTCAATAGTTGGGGATAAGATTGTCTGCAAATATTGTAGAAAGGATTATCCGGATAATGTTAGAAGACACGGGACATCTACCATCCGCCGACATTTGGTTGTATGCAAAAGAATGCCTAGTAAATTTTCTGAAATGACAGAGATACTTGCTCAAGACGGAATGATAATCGCAAAAAAACTTGATGGTATGATGGTTCGTAAGTGCGTAGCCATGGCAATCATAGAGCATGATCTCCCATTTTCTTTTGTGGAGTATAAGAGAGTTAGACAATTGCTCAAATACATGAATCCAGATTTCAAACCAATTTCTAGGAATACCATTGTTGCTGAGGTCCAGAGATTGCATCAAGATCATAAAGAGAAACTGAAAATGGAGATAGCTTCTGTCCCTAATAGAATTTGTTTGACTGCCGATGTTTGGAGATCTATAGCTATTGAAGGATATATATGCCTTACTGCGCATTATGTTGATGATAGCTGGAGATTAAATAGTAAGATACTATCTTTTAGTGTCATGCCTCCTCCGCATTCTGGAAATGAGTTGGCGAAGAAAGTTCTCGATTGTTTGAAAGATTGGGGGATAGAAAACAAAATATTCTCGCTCACGCTTGATAATGCCTCAGCTAACGATACTATGCAGAGTATATTGAAGGACCAGCTTTGTCTACAAAATGGATTATTATGCGATGGAAAATTTTTCCATGTTCGATGTTGTGCACATATTTTAAATCTTATTGTGCAAGAAGGATTAAAAGTGGTTGATTCTGCCTTGTATAAGATCAGGGAAAGTGTGAAGTATGTTAAGTGGTCAGAAGGAAGGATGAATATGTTTAAGGACTGTTGTGAGCAAGTTGGCGTTGATAGCAGGACAGGTTTGCTTTTAGATGTTTGTACCAGATGGAACTCGACTTATATGATGCTCAAGATTGCTATTAAGTATGAACGTGCATTTAGTAGTCTGCAATTGCTTGATCGGAACTATAAGTATAATCCATCAACACAAGAGTGGCAAAGAGGAATAAAGATTTGTGAGTTTTTGGAGCCATTCTATGAGATCACCAACTTGTTTTCTGGGTCTAAATATCCTACTTCCAATTTATATTTCTTTCAAGTATGGAGAATAGAGTGTTTGCTGAAGGACTACATGAAAAACGAAGAAGATGAAATCATTCAATCTATGGCCATCAATATGAAGGGGAAGTTCGATAAGTATTGGGAGGAGTATAGTGTGACCCTTGCGTTAGGAGCTGTTTTGGATCCTAGAATGAAGTTGGAATTATTGGAGTTTGCTTACAGTGAGATTGATCTGAGCACTTCCAAGGAAAAAATTGATCTTGTGAAAAAAAAATTGGTGTTGCTCTTTAATCAATACAAGAACAAATCAGTATCTCCAAGTTGTTCACGTGGAACTACAAGTCCAAGTTGGTGTTTCGCAAAAGGAAGAGGAACACGTTTGACTGCTCTAAATATAAGTTTCGTTTAATCTTATAATCTATGTGTCTTTGATTTAATATTTTATAATTTTGTTTAACTTCTCTGTGGTGTGGTATATAGGTTTTTAAAGCATATGAAAAAAGGGTTACTGCTCAAGAGGGACGATCTGTTTTGGAAATATATTTAGAGGACAAAAGGCTAGAAATGAATGAGTATAACGACATTGATAACATGTAAATAACATTATATTTTAATTTAAGATATCTATCGAGTTTCACGTTATTTATACATTAATAGATATCATTTGTACAGTTTTACTTCGATTTCGTTGTTTATATTGTTTTGCAGGAAAATTGGAGATTTGAGTTTAAACGACGCAATTTCAAGGAAATCGAATGGAAAACAAATGAGTACAAAATTGGTCTGGTTTAATAAAACAAAAACAAAAAAACACAAGATCGCGCGATCGTTGTTACGATCGCACAATCGAACATATACATAATACACGATATAATAATATATGTTAGTGAATATAATATATATATATATGTTAGTGGAAATATATATAATAATATATATGTTAGTGGATATATATAATATTATAATATATATATGTTAGCGGATGTATATATATTATTATATAAATATGTGTATATGTGTACGTTATTTATATTTGCATATTATATATATATATATCCGTATATATATTAGATTTATGTATGGATATGTTTTTATATGTATAATAGATATATACATCTAATACATGTATGTATATGTGTATTATGTATAATATATATGTATATAATATATTGTAATAATAGTAGTAACTCAACGATCGAGCAATTGTTATTCACAATCGCACGATTGTTTTTAACCTCCACCGGACCCACGTATTCACAAATGGCCAAACAAGAGTGCACAATTGTTTTATCGGCCGACAAAAAAAACAGACTTTCCTTGATTTGCGCTGAGCTAAAAGAAAGGAGACAACGATGTTCACTCGAGCTGGCATTCATTAAAAAGAGAAGTAGAGGATAGAGCCAGGAGAGCTTCGACAGCTCTCGACAGAGAGCTTCACCGAAGAGAGGAGCTGCAGGTCCGACCCAAGCGTCGCACGGAGGTTCCAGAGGAGAAGAAGGAGATGAGGAGGAAGACCACGCTGCCCATAATTCCTAAGCCTCTCTAACTCTCTCTATCTATTCTTTCTCTGGGATTTTTCCGTGCGATATCTTGTTATTCTCTCTGGTTGTGTTTGTGTGTTGAACTCCCGTCATGAGGTTTTGAATTTAAATTTGTATTAAGGATTTATTTATGTGTGGGTATTTTGATTATTACTGGTTTGATATTTGGTTTGAGTGAATGATTCTTAATGCATCAATTCTTGCTGATCACTTGAATTGTATGATTTTAGGGTTTAATTTACATAGTGATATGAAATTAAACCTCGAAACTATTTACCCGGATAGACAAAACTTGCATCAGAAAATAGAGATATCATCTAGAAAAGGTGACATATAGATGATTATCACTATTGGAAAATAAAAGAATTT